TCACAGTTTTTCAACACCATGTGATGCTTTATGGGTATTGTAACCAGATGGTGCCTTGCTTAATAACTCTTAAGTTGTCTGTTCACTGCACTATTTGCCATTTATCCGGTATGGGGTATTTGGGGTATATACAAATCCAGTTAAGATGCTGGTGAGATGTATTAGGCAGCGGGATATTGAGAAAAAAAAAAAAGCCTTTTGCAGAAAGATTTTGCATCAAGTAAATAAAGCCTATTTGTAAGAAAACATAATAAATATACATATTTAAGTGACATCATAATAGTATGATGCACTAAATTGAATTTATATTGGTTTTAATAAAAAAGAAAGAAAATAATTGACAGCAAGATATTCATTCATGTTACAGTAATGAGCGAGGCATTTATTCACATTACAGTAATGGCAATTTTTCAATGGAAACTATGCACCAAGAGCTTGTAACACTCCAAAGAGAAAAATTTAAATCGCATCATATGACCCCTTTAATGGAAATAAAAAATAAAGTTAAAATAATAAAAGTGCTTGATGAAAAACTATTTCACGTCACAAATTTATTAAATGGTCCTAAAATGGCCTTCATTTTCTATAAAGTATGTCATTTCTTATATTTGTATCAAATTATTTAAAGATTCCTATCATTAGGAAATTGTTTTAGGAATAACGCTAATTTCAAAGCTAATGCTAATGGTCAATGCACAAGTCACAGATTTGAAGGAAGTGAGCTGTACTGCAGTGCATATAAATTGTTACTTTTGGCTGGGTTTTGCAGCTTTGATGAAAACATGCAGTGCTGGCTGTTGTCTTTTTCCACTCTGTTCTGACTAACATTTATACTCCTTTTTCCCTCTGTTTTCCCTCTCTCCTCTCATTTCTGCTGCCCTCAGTTTGGATGTATGGCCTTCAGGACAGTCCAACAAAGTCTGAGGCCTCAGGTAGATATGCGATATACGTGTGTGCATGTCACTTTTGCAACTCTTCAATGTGGTAATTTTCGAGTTTTTACAAGTACAGTTCCTAAAAGAGTTCCTTGCCCAGGGTCCAAAATTAACACTCGTCAAGCGCCAAATCAAAATTAGTCAAACGCTATTAATCACCATTTGGCTGGTAACTCCATTAGGAACTGTAACATAATACACAGATTTAATCGTGTTATTAAAGTGAGCCTGATGTAAGCAATCCAGAAATTACATTTTGAAATTAATATAATGATAAATATGGCTTCTAATTTGGGACAATGCAGTAAGCAAGTGGTGTGTGGATGGGCATGACTATGGGAATTTAACTGGCTAAAGAGTCATAAAATTTTCTCCTAAGACATTTACATAATGATTCCAAAACTGGAACTTTGTTTTTAAGAGCAAGAGCTCATTTAGCAGATCTTAGAGGTCTGCAGGTTTACTTGTGGCTTATAAAGTTTATGCTAGAAGACAAAATATTTAGGATAGGTGTTGTAAGGCCAGCAGCGAAGAGGAAGACATTCAGTGTGAAAACGGAGGATGTAAAACATGACACGAGAGCTTGTGGTCTCCCCTCAGTGCTCTCCCGGGAAGTCTTACAGATGACGGCCTGCAAATAAACATTTCAGAAAAGAATGCGCTCTGTTTTCAGAAATAAATGCTGACGCTCACAGAACTATAGCCCATGTGGAGTGTGTTTTCACCATGATCATCACACACACCCTACATATTTGGGCAATTTCCTGCAGAATAAAGAAAACACACTGATTATGTAACACATATCATTTGCTTGTGCACATGCTTTCTACAAACATTTCATAATCCGACTTAAGAATGGTGGTTTCTAACTTTTCCCAGCTGGTCATTAGATAGTAAGCTTGTTTATTGCTAGTCAAAAATAGGGTGACCAGACGTCTCCATTTTCCGGGACAGTCCCGGTTTTTGGTGTCCTGTCCCCGACTGGAGCTGTCCCCGGAAATGTCCCCATTTTACACCATGTTTAGGACAAGAGCAGAGTACTATTATCATCAATTATCAAAAGAAACACCGTTATTGGTTTCAAGGTAGTCACATACTAACTATATACATGTTAAAACAAAGTAATACTGTTTGTGTGCACTTTATAACAAGACATGATAAGGTTGCGGGATTGTTTGCACTTAAACTTTCCTCAAACACAATTCCAATATTAATAATGTAAAAAAACAAACAAAAAAACAATTACATCTGCACAATTACATTTGCAGAAAGCACACACTTGAGCCTAAAATGCAAAATAATAAGCCTGATTGGGGATTGTAAAGATCCAAAAGCAAGCATAAATATAAAATAACAGTAAACATAAGAGTAAATTAATGCGAAGTTTGGAATTAGCACTGTGTTCCTTGTGATGTTGTGGTGACTGTCAGATTGAAGTGAAATATTTCTGCGATTGGCACAAACACCGTTAAAATTTCAGAATTATATTTCACAGTTCACTTCAGCACAGCTGCAAGCATTCAGTTGAGCAATACAGTATGTTGTCATGTTAGCATGACATGGCGCCATGAAGTGTGAGGCAGCGCTAATTAGCTTGTTCCATACCGATGGTGATAGTGACAAGATACAGAACTACTGCTCTCTCGCTTCTCACAGCACTGAGCGTCTGCACTCAAAGGATTCTCCAGTAATCCTGATTTAAAAGCCCATGGTGTTAAAACACATTGTGCTAGCAACACAGACACGCTGTTGGCATCATGACAGCTTGATGTTGACTGAATACAAGACCAGATTTTATGTTAATTTAGTTTTGTACAAAACATCATTATTTGGTTCAATAATTTTCATTGGGACAGTGACAACCTCAAATGCCAGTATCAAAGTATATTCTTATACCATGGTATTCACAAACATTGGGCACATAATCCATGGTTCGTTTCCAAACAAGACATGTTAACACCATAGTAAATGCTTATATGTGCTTGCATGAGGTACAGCAAATGCACCCGCCATCTCTTTGGATAAATTGTTACAAATATGATACATTTTATATTTCTGTAAGAACATTTGAAATGTTTCCTATTTAAAGCCTCTAGTTTTCAGAAGACCACACTATGTGAAAAACAGGGAGAACACAACCACACGATGTTGGAAGTTCAAGCGCATATAAGAAACTAAAAAAATAGTTCTCAGAAGTACAAATACACCATTTGAAGTTTTAGTAACTATGCAGAAAGTCTTGAAATGCATAAGCCAGAAACGTTTGATGTGTTATACTTTGGATATTTTAGTTTACAAACAACATTAAACAGCATGTTCAGCCTATTTTATTGCTGTAATGTAAATTAAACAGGATATTCAATGGAAAATACACTACAAAAACTGAAAAGACATTTTTTTAACATATTTGAAAGAAGCCTCTTAAAGGGGTCCTATTATGCTCTTTTACAAAGTCTTGATTTTAATGATATTCTAATGGGCCGCTTTGTGATATCACAAAGCCCGGAAAACAAATGCTGTAGTCCAAACGAGCCGTTCGTTGTAGTTCTTGAAAAGGGATTTTTAAAAAACGAAATATCTCCCTTTGGAGTGGACTTTGAGATTTGTAACTTTCTATATCTTTTTTATGCCCAAACATACACACTACACACTGACTAAAATTTAAAAAGTGAAAAAGCATAATAGGACCCCTTTAAGGCACTGACAGACGCAGACAAACAGCAACAGACATGTTTGTCCGGTTTCATTGAATCAGTGTTTTAACCCTGTCGGCGTCTGTCAGTTTGTTTTCACAGATTGAACACGTTGAACCAGCATTTGTTGGGTTTTGTAATGTCTGAGAAGGGACGTACTGTAATCCAGTGACTGTTGCCGTTGTCTGCATCTGCATCGGTGCAGTGTGAATTGACCTTTATGCTCACCAGAGATGCATTTATTTAATCAAAAAACAATAAAAATAGTAATATTGTGAGATATTGTTACAATTTAAAATAACTTTTTTTTTATATATAAAAATGTGATTCATTCCTGGGATGCCAAGCTAAATATTAAGCAGCAGTCTTTCAGTGTCACATGATCCTTCAGAAATTATTGTAATATGCTGATTTGGTGCTCAAGAAACATTATTATTATTATTAAACATTATTATTGTTGTTAATATTATGTTAAAAACAACTGTGCTGCTTAATGCTTCATGATACACATTTTTTAAGATTCTTTGATGAATAGAAAGAACTGAATTGATTTCAAATAGATTTCTTTTTTTGTAACAATGAAAGCATGTAAACACCAACTTTACAGTCAGTTTTTGAGTAATTTAATGTAGGTGGGATGTAATTTATTCACTAGAATTATGGAAATTCTACTTGTTCATTCTACTGATTTGGTCATGGCACATATGGTCATGTGACCACTGAACTCTTAAAGGAATAGTTCACACAAAAATGAAAATTCTCTCATCATTTACTCTTCCATCATTCTGAAGCTTGAAAACTCTTGTCCTCATTCACTTTCATCATATATATATATATATA